TTTCTACTAAGCCTGACTGATAACCTGAGTTTTAATGACCAGAACCAATATGGTACAAGAGGAGAACCAAGTCCCTCAACTTTGTCCTGATTTCCACACAAATGGAAAAACACAAATTTTTTTTTTTCCCCGAGACAGGATTTCTCTGTGTAGCCCTGGCTGTCCTGGAACTCACTCTGTAGACCAGGGTGGCCTCAAACTCAGAGATCCACCTGCGTTTGTCTCCAAAGTGCTGGGATTAAAGGCCACCACAGCCAGACTGAGGGGGAAAAAAATTAATTCTCATAATTCTTTCCTGTGCTAGAAATAAACGCTAAACACACATACATCCCACTGAACTACATTCCCAGCCCTCACTTTACAAAGCTAAATAAGGCTGACATAAATACGGCTGATAAAGAAAACCACAGCTTTCCAGGCAGCAGTGGCGCACACCTTTAATCCCAGCACTCAGGAGGCAGAGCCAGGTGGATCTCTATGAGTTTGAGGCCAGCCTGGTCTACAGAACGAGATCCAGGACAGACACCAAAACTACACAGAGAAACCCTGTCTCAAAAAAACAAAAGTAAAGAAAAGGAAAAAAAAAAAAAAAAGAACAGAACACAGCTCAGGAAACTAACAGTAGAACATGTGACTATGATCAATAACAGCGACTTTAAACTAGGCATTGAGAATGGTTTAAGTGTTGTTCTAACACATAATATATGGGGCTAACTAGGAAGAATGATCACCTGAGACCCTGGGTTCAATCATATCACTTAGCTGCCAAAGAGCTGTAAGGCTGCTGCTGGTTTCTAAAACTGGACTAGTGATGGATGCAGAGTTGTGTAACTCTATTAAACTCAGTGGAACAGTACATTTAAAAGAGATGAATCCTATACTATATACAACATACCTCAATAAACCTTTTTAAAATCCACTTTTGGGGGGCAGCAAGATGACTCAGTAGGTAAAAAGCACTTGCTGCTCACACCCGAATTCCATCCAGAACCCACATAAAGGTGGAAGAACTATACAAAACTGTCCTCTAACAGCCACACCCCTACCATGACACATGGTCTACTCCACTCCACCCCACCCATCATTCACACAAAATAAATAAATGTAAAAAAGCAAAACAAGAAACCATACTTCTGCTTAGATTTGATTATGTTTTAGGTAGCTTTTAGACATCACTATATATATATATATACATATATGTGTGTGTGTGTGTGTGTGTGTGTGTGTGTGTGTGTGTGTGTGTGTACACACACACACACCAACTTATCCTAAGGCTTCTGTAATGCAGAGGTAAAAAAAAAATTTTTTTTTAAAGCTGGGTGATGGTGGCACACACCTTTGACCCCAGCACTGGGAGGCAGAGGCAGGGGGAATCTCTGAGTTCAAGGCCAGCCTGGTCTACAAAGTGAGTTCCAGGACAGACAGAGATACCTTGTCTTGAAAAACAACAACAAATCTTTATAAATTCAATAAAGAAGTAAAGACTCAAATTACATTAGTAATTTTATATATATCCCAAAGCAGAGGGTGCTGAAAAGATGGCCTAACACTGGCTGCTCTTTCTGGAGGACCTGGTTTTAATTCCCAGGACCCATGCAGCAGTTCACATAATTCCAGTGTTAGTGGAAATGATGCCCTCTTCTTGCCTCCTTGGACCTATACACACAGTGAACAGACATACATGCAGGCAAAATACCCATATACATAAAAATAAATCTTAAAATAAAAGGGGGTAAAGAGTGGTATTTATGTGATGGATACAGGGGATTTTCACTCTCTTCCTACTTCCTTCATCTTCCTAGTGCACTACAATTATTTTATGTATTACATTCACAATCACCAAGTTTTAAATAGTTTCATTCATTCATTTATTTATTGAGAAAGGGTCTCATTTAGCCCAGACTGGCCTCAAGCTCACAATATAGTCTTGGATGATCCTGATTGAGCTTTCATATTCCTGCTTCCCAAGTACTTGAATCACAGGTGTGTGCCACCATGCCTGGTTTGCACAGTGTTGGGGATGGAGCTTTGTACAAACTAGGCAAGCGCTCTCAACCAAGGCACATCCCCAGCCCTATATTTTCCACTGAGACAAGGTCTCAATAAATTATCATGGTTGACCTTGAAGTTGCCCTTGAACTTGCCTCTTGTCTTAGCTTCCAGAGCAACCAGGAAGACACAATTTAAATACCAAACCTGTAATCCATTCTAAAGCCTCAAAATCCCCCATCAATAAACTGAAAGGATTTTATTTTCTTACAGACCTGTAATCTCTCTCTAGAGTCTCAAATCCCCCAAAATCAATTAATGGAAAGGATTTTGGTTTCTTACAAGTATGTGACAAACTCATCTGGCAACAAAATCTGACCGTAAGACCAGCAAGATGGCTCAAAGGGTAAAAGTACCTGTCTACTGGCTGGATGACCTGAGGTCTACTCTTTTTTTCTTTGGTTCATCGAGACAGGGTTTCTCTGTGTAGCTTTGCGCCTTTCCTGGAACTCACTCTGTAGCCCACGCTAGCCTCGAACTCACAGAGATCTGTCTGGTTTTGTCTTTCGAGCGCTGGGATTAAAGGCATGAGCCACCACCACCCGGTTCTGAGTTCTACTCTTAGCACCCACAAGGTGGGAGGAAAGAACCTGACTCACCAAAGTCCTGACTTCCACATGTGCACCATGGTAGTACATGTACACACACACTATAAAAATGATCTTTTAAAAAAACCTTGGCCTAGACTTCCTAAGATTACAAATATAATTTTTAATAATCTTGTTTAGTATGCCAATTTGTTTCACTAAAGAAATGTGTTGCTGGGTGGTGGTAGTACACACCTCTAGTCCCAGCACTCAGGAGGCAGAAGCAGAGGCAGGAGGATCTCTGTCAGTTTAAAGCCAGCCCAGCACCATTCAGTAGCAACAACAATAAGGAAGGGAACATGCCCACATTGATAAACAGGTCTGACTCAATCTGCCTGATTCATAACACTGTTTCTGCTCCAAGGCAGTCTCTAAATGGGAATGACATAGACAGTCCACTGTTAAAAGAGGGAAGTCTAGAAGCCAGGGAAAAGGAGCAGCAGTCAAGGAGCACGATCAGACACCAACAGCACTCTTCTAAAGAATATAAAAAAACCTGGCCAGGCAGTGGTGACACAAGCCTTTAATCCCAGCACTCGGGAGGCAGAGGCAGGTGGATCTCTGTGAGTTCGAGGCCAGCCTGGTCTACCAAGTGAGTTCTGCTCTCACCCACCCAATCCCTGGTAGAGAATGGTTTCCCAAATCCCAACTAGAAATCAAAGTGAGGGAGGGAAAAAAAAAATTCCTGCCGGGCGGTGGTGGCGCACGCCTTTAATCCCAGCACTCGGGAGGCAGAGCCAGGCGGATCTCTGAGTTCGAGGCCAGCCTGGACTACCAAGTGAGTTCCAGGAAAGGCGCAAAGCTACACAGAGAAACCCTGTCTCGAAAAACCAAAAAAAAAAAATTCCTGTCTGAAATGGAAAGAAGGTGAAAAAGAGTTGAGTATGGTAATCTACACTTGTAGAAAGAAGAATCTAAGGTCATCCTTTATCCAGAACTTAGAAAAAGAAAATAAGGCCTTCCGTGTCTTCATGAAATATCCACAGGCGCATCCATCCTGCGGCCCGCATACATACATGGGACACAGCAACAAACAAGAGAGGTGACCCTCGAAGAGCTTACATCAGGGCAGAAACATGAGAAACAAACAAGTAAGAACTACCTATAAGGTCAATGCTGTGGAACAAATAAAACTGGATGATGTGAACCGAGAAATGAAAACCGATGCCTAAGAGGGGAAGTCAGGGGGGTAGCCTCGCCAAGACCCAAGGCTAGCTGCTTCTAAGATCACAAAAGGTGGGGACTCCATAGCAGGACGGGACTGGGAATACTTAGGAAGAGTAGGTCAGCATGGCTACAGTGCCTTTGAGAGAGGATGGGTGGTGGACGGCAGCTCAGGTGAGACCTCTGGGAAGCACAGCCAACAATCAGTGGAGCCTTCAAGCCACTTAACCAAGTGTGCAAGTGAAGAATCCGAAGTTTGAGGTGAGGGTGAAAATGCCATTTCAGTGGAAGAGATTGCTCAACATGTTCGAGAATATGGACCCACCCCCAGCATCACATTATTAAAACATTAAAATTTTCGTAGAGAGGCAACGTCTGGCTCTGAATTACACTCCTAGGGAGAGACTGAGTATGAAAGAGACCAGATTATCCAGCTCGCCACTGCGCCCCAGGAAGGGGAACCCCAATTGACTGTACGTTCGTTAAGTCCTAGGAGCACGAACGAGTCAGCCAGGTAGGACCCCGAGGCCCAGGTCCACTGTGATGGAGGCCGAAGACCCGCGAAACCCAAGTGGTGATCTCTGGCCTCCTTCCAAACCAGGGACCAGACCGGCTTGGCCAACTCAGGCCTCGGCGCCGAACACGGCTCACGCTGCGGGCCCCGGCGCGCCGAGAACGGACGCGCGGGCGCGACCAATCAGCGGCCGCCTAAGGAGCGAAGGGCGGCGGCGCGGCCAATCAGCGAGGCGCTGGAAGGGAAGGGGCGGGAGCTGGGGGAAGCTCGCGTGAGGCCGAGACTCCAGCTGCCCTGCTTCCCGGAGCGGTCAGGCCCAGCCCCGAGGCGGCGTGCGGGGAGGCCCCGGCGCGCGGCCTCAAGCAGAGGCCCGGGCCCACTTCCCAGCGCTCGTCCCCTCCCTCAGTCGCGTCCCCACAGTGACTCTGCTCACTCCATGCCTCACCTCGAGGGGACACCGAGACCGAGAAGGGAACCCTAGGCGAGAGCTGCAGCCGACGGTACCCACTCCTGCCGCTGCTCCGCCTCACATTCAAACCCCGGCAAAATGGCGCGGCGGCAGAGGTGGCGGCCACAGCGCATGTGCAAGCGAGGCCGAGACTCGGGGCGGGGCCAGGGATGCTTTTGGTCCCACCCTGGCTTGAAGGGCCAATCGGAACCCCGCTCTGTTCTGCGGTGACGTCACAAGGGACCATGCCCTTTGACGCAGGTTGCTGGTTTGGATTTCTTTGCGCAGACCATGGCAGGTTTTGCAAGTGCCTCCTAGTGGCTTTTAACTGTTGGATGGACTGTGCTCGTTCCCGCCGGAGAAGGGAGAGACCGTCCATTCTAGGACAAGCAGAATAACCGAATGAGTAAGAATTTCAAGCAGAGGGATAGCTCGGTTTGGTTAAGGGATAGCTGCGCAATTAAGAAGGCATGAGTTCGAATCCCCAGCAGCCACATAAAAGCCAGCCTGGGGCTGCCCGATTGTAATCCCGAATCTGGGAAAGCAGATATGGGAAGATCCCTGGGGCTAATTGGACAGCCAATCTAGCTAATCGGTGAGCTCCTGTTTCCATGAGAGATCCTGCCTCAAAAACTAAGGTAGAGAGGAATTGAGGAACACACGCGCGCACGCACACACTCACACACTCCCTCACGCGCGATTTTAGAAGCCTATAAGGATTTCAGAAGCATATCAGACATGATAGCACATGCTTGTTATCACTTGGCACGTAGGAGGCAGAGGCAGGAGAATCACCATATATTTGAACCCAATGTGGTTTACATAGTGAATTTGAGGCCAGTCAGAGGTAGTGTGTGGTGTTTTGTGTTCCCCAAAATATTGTGTACCCTAATAAACTTATCTGGGGTCAGAGAACAGAAAAGCCACTAGATACTTAAGATAGGCAGTGGTAGCACACGCCTTTAATCCTAGCATTCCAGAGGCAGAAATCCATCCAGGCATGGTGACTCATGCCTTTAATCCCAGAAAGCGAGCCTTTAATCCCAGGGAGTGATGGCAGATAGCAGAAAGGTATATAAGGCATGAGGACCAGAAACTAGAAGCATTTAGATGGTTAAGCTTTCAGACTTCTAGCAGCACATTTCAGCTGAGAGCCATTCGGATATGAGGACACAGAGGCTTCCAACCTGAGGAAACAAGACCAGCTGAGGATCCGGCCAGGTGAGGTTAGCTGTGGCTTGTTCTGTCTCTCTGACCATCCAGCATTTCACCCCAATAACTGGCCCCGGGTTTGATTTTATTAATAAGAACTTTTAAGATTCATGCTACAGTAGGGAGTGAGATCCTTTCTCAAAATATTCTTTTTCAGATGATGTAACCGGTGGCAACTTGAAGATAACTGGGATGAACAGGGGAAAATTTACCTTTTCAAAAGCCAGGAGAGAGCTGGGTGACCATCGGCCTGGCAAGCACCGGGAAGAATAGTGAAGGCTGGGAAGTCTGCTTAAGCTAGACTTCGAACTAGTGAAATGTAATAAAAAAAAAGGCCAAATGAGGGGGCCTCAGCAGCCAGCTCACCTCGCTTTCTCTGTTCCTCCCAGCTTCAAGCTTACCTCACAGCACTGATACTTGCACCTTCCTCCGCGTGGCCGCTCTTCTGGCTCCGGTGATGGCTGGCTCCGGTGATGGCTGGCTCCGGTGATGGCTGGCTCCGGTGATGGCTGGCTCCGCCGGTGATGGCTGGCTCCGCCGGTGATGGCTGGCTCCCTTTGCGTTTGGTTGCAGAGCAGTGACAGCTCCCCAGGGATGCTTTACCACTCTCTGAAACTGCCCACTTCCCCTTGACGTTAACCCAACAGCACACCATTTAGCGAGTAAAAGACAGGCTGCCCAACTTGACATGAATTTCAGGGAACAAACTCTTATTTTTATAATAGATACCGCCTGAGAACACTTACCCTAAAGAAGTATGCGTTGTTTATGTAAGGTTCCAATTAAATTGGGCATTCTGTATCTTTTTTTTGTTGTTTTTGTTTTTCCAGACAGGGTTTCTCTGTGTAGTGCTGGCTGTTCTGGAACTTGCTCTATTGACCAGGCTGGCCTCAAACTCACAGAGATCTACCTGCCTCTGCCTCCCAAAGTGCTGGGATGAAAGGTGTGTGCCACCACTGCCTGGCTGAGAATTCTGTATCTTATCTAGCAGGCTTGATTTCATTATTAGGATTCTGCCACTCCTCCAGCTATATGACCGCACATGCGCAGTTCAATAGCTAAGCAAGGGGTCATAGGTCAACTTACAACATCTGTGCGCTGTGTGATTACACAAATTCGCGCAGGTCGGTCATGCAATCAGCACATATGTGGAGTAGCTCCATGAGCCCACCTACGCATGTGCAGGGAAATCCTTAAAAAGCCAGTCAGGGGCGGCGGCGGCGGTGGCAGCGGCACACTCCTTTAATCCCAGCACTCGGGAGGCAGAGGCAGGTGAGCTCGAGGCCAGCCTGGTCTACAGAGTGAGTTCCAGGAAAGGCCCAGAGCTACACAGAGAAACCCTGTCTCAAAAAACAAAACCAAACAAAACAGCCAGTCACAGACTCCTCCCCTCTCTTCCGCTCTCTCCTCCTCCCCCACTATCTCTCTACCTGCATGTCTTTCACAGGCCTGGTCACTCTCTTCTGTCCTCCCCCCACCCCCAAAAAAGCTCTGATACTGGATTTTGTCGTGCCTCGTGACCTTTCTCGCACGTTAACAAGAGCTGCATTTAAAACCAACAATTACATCATTCTGAGCTGAAATGTTTTTAAGCGTTTGTTTATTTATGTAGGGGAGGGGTACGCGGGTGCCACGGTGCATGTGTGAAGGTCAGAGTACGACCAGTGAGAGTCAGTTCTGTTCGGCTTGCGGGTTCCAGGGTTGAACTCAGGTCCTCTGTCTTGGCAGCAAATGCCGTCACCCTGAGAAACAGCCCCCATTATGCTTTCTGTCTGGCATTTATAAGTCTCTGCAATTAATATCAGCCACCAGCCCCAGGGCTCTATGATTGACAGAGCTTAGGGCTTACTGCTGTTGTTTATAGCTGTGACCCCAGTACCTAGCACACCTGGGCTGCTCAATAAAGATGTGTTGGGTATTTAAGTTTTTTTTTTTTAATTTTTATTTTCTGTGCACCATGTGCATGCAGCACCCAAGGAGGCCAGAAGAAGGTGTTTGTTTCCTTGGAACTGGAGATTAAGGATGGTTGTGAGCCACCATGTGGAAGCTGGGAACTGAAACAGTCCTCTGGAAGAGCAGCCAGTGCTTTTAACCGCTGAGCCGTCTCTCTGGCCCCCATGTTGGGTGTTCATGTAGGAATAGGTAAAATGCCATGTGTAAATACAGTGCATTTACTGTTGCAGCATTAGTACAGATGATCATCACTGGAGGTTGAACTTGATGTCTCCTTCATGTTAGGTGAGCACTCTACCACTGAGCTACACACCAGCCTGTAAGCAATTATCTTAATCATACTAATCTGCTTCTCGTTTCATTTTCTTCTAGCCCTGGGAAGTAGAAAGCTAATGATTTGCCTGTCTTTCATCTTTGAGGGCCATTCATAAGGCCTAGAGATATAACTCAGAGCATTGCCGGCCTAAGCAAGACCCTGGATTTTTTTTTTTTTTTTTTTTTTTTTTTTTGGTTTTTCAAGACAGGGTTTCTCTGTGTAGCTTTGGAGCCTGTCCTGAAACTCACTCTGTAGCCCAGGCTGGCCTCGAACTCACAGAGATCTGCCTGGCTCTGCCTCCCGAGTGCTGGGATTAAAGGCATGCGCCACCACAGCCCGGCTGGATTTTGTTAGGAATATAAATTCAAGGTCCTAAAGTAAGAGACTGCCACTCCAGTTGAAATGCCTCAAGGCAAAACTTTACTTTGATCTGGACTCTAGAGTCTAGACCAGTGGATCTCCGCCTTCCTTAATACAGTTCCTTATGTTGTGACCCTAACCATAAAATTATTTTTGATGCTACTTCATAACTGTAATTTTGCTACGGAATTGTAATGGAAATGGCCATGTTTTCTAACGGTCTTAGGTAACCCCTGTGAAAGGGCCACTTGACCCCCAGGTTGAGAACTGCTGCTCTAAACTGGATTCTAGAGCGTGTTGCTCAAAGAAGAAGCAAGCATGGGGCAGAGTGGGGAGGGCCTCAGTGTGCTGGCTTTTCATTCTCTGCAGGTGGGAACTGTGTCTTTTCCTCATTGGCTGGTGTCTGACCTCATACTCTTTCTCGATTGGCTAGTTTCAAAAGGCCCTGAAGAGCCGGGCATGGTGGTACACACCTTTAATTCTAATTGAGGTCAGGTTGGTCAATAGAGCGAGTTCCAGAACAGCCAGGACTAAACAGAGAAATCCTGTCTCAAACAAAACAAATAAAAAAAGGGAATGAAGGAAAACAAAGGAAATAAAGATCTGAATTGAATTTCATGAAGACAAGTTTTACAGTGTGTGATTAAAAGATTCTTAAGGTTTCTTACAATTTGATGCTCAGTCTCAATATCACACACACACACACACCACACATATACACACACCGCATACATACAGTACACATACACACCACACACACACACCACACACACATAGGCACAACACACACACATGACACACATACACCACACATATACACACATACACCACACACACACCCCGAAGGCAGGCTGATGTCCTGCATCTAACATCAGTCGATATCTCTGCAGCTTTGGTAGATAGCTCGAAAGCTGAGCCAAGATGATCAGGTCTGTTTGAGGATAAGCTCCTTCTGGCACACACCATTTCTCTGTGTAGCAACGGAAGAACCCTGCAAGAGGGTGCCTTAGAAAGGCTGATCTGGTGGTGCACAGTGAACCCTAACAAGCACCACTACCTATCCTATGCTTAGTGTTGGCTACAACTGCTAACGACTGTTGGAAACAAAGGCAATAACTGAGCAGAATTCCAAGTATTCCTGCATACTGTTGTCTTTGTTTCCAAATACTAAGAAAACAATCTGTAAAGTATGGAAAGTCACCCTGAAAAGATGCTCCATGGGAAAGCCACCTTTATTTGCATTCAGAAGGGCATATCTCTTGTGCTTGCTGAGAAGCTGTCTTTTAGCTCCATCTCACATTTAAAGCCCAACTGAGGAGAGAGAGTGGCCATTGCTAAAATCAAGACGCATCCCATTGGGGTCTTTGTTTGTTTTAAATAGAGGTAGAGGGCTAGAGAGAGAGCTCAGCAGCGAAGCACTGTTGCTGCTTTTGAAGAAGACTGGTTCAGATCCCAGCACCACTCGGTGGCTCACAACTGTCCATAACTCCAGTTCCATGGGTCCAACGCCCTCTTCTGGCCGCCACAGGCACTGCACTCATGTGATGCCCAAATACATTTAGGCAGAACACCCATTTACATCAAATAATAAATCTTTTAACAACGAAGAGTGACCTTTAGTTCTTACTGAGTACAGTCCATGTGGCAGAAACATCACTGAGTCCAGCACAGGATGTGAGCTGGATAGAAAACAAACGATGTGATGTTTGTATCGGCTGCTGCTGCTTCTTTGTTTGGTTTTGGTTTAGAGACAATGACTCACTGTAGCCTAGGCTGGCCTAAGTGCTGGGATTACAGGCCTATGCCACCATGCCTGGCTTATTTTGGGCTTTTGGGGTCAGTTCTCATGATTGGCCTATGTGGACCACCTGACCTTCAACTCCTGATCCACTGCTCTATCTACCAAGTACTGGGGCTACAGGCCTGAGCTTGACTTTTCTGTTCCCTATTTTAAAAATGAAAAGTTGGGTGGGGCTTCTTAGATGGCTCAGTGGCTAATGATACTTGCCACCATATTAGATCAATCCACATGAGTCTATTAAATGGCTAACAGAATTTATTAAGATATAAATTGAGGAAATACACTCACGAATACAGATCGGAGTAGACAGCTGAAGTTGTCCTCTGATCTGACCGGGAGCAGCAGGGAGAAGGGGCACGTGACCCTTCCTCGACTCCTTATGAGAGGTCACGAACAATGGCAGGAAGCACCGCCTCCTTCCGGCCTATAGCCCAAGGTCATGGGCGGAGCAAATACCACTCCAGCACTAAGCCTGACAACCAAGAGTTTGGTCCCCAGGATACACATGATTGAAGAATAGAACTCAGTCTTCTGAGATGTCCAGTCAGCTCCACGTGTGCCGTAGCATACTCATTTGCATGTACATAAAGAGTGTCATTAAAAAAAATTTATTTGAGGGCTGGAGAGATGGCTCAGAGGTTAAGAGCATTGGCTGCTCTTCCAGAGGTCCTGAGTTCAATTCCCAGCACCCACATGGTGGCTCAAAACCATCTGTAATAAGATCTGGCGCCCTCTTCTGGCCTGCAGGGATATGTGCAGACAGAACACTGTATACATAATAAATAAATAAATCTTTAAAAAACAAAACAAATTTGTTTGAGGGCCAGGCATGGCGCTGCAGGCTTTTTAACTGACACTCGGAAGGCAGAGGCAAGGGAATCTCTGAGTTCCAGGCTAACCTAGTCTACAGAGTGAGTTCCAGGACAGCCAGGGCTACACAGAGAAACCCTGTCTTGAAAAACCAAAAAAAAGTTTTTTAAAGTAAGTTTTTAGCTGCTGCAGATGTAGCTCAGTTGCTTGTCTAGCATCCACTAACCCCTGGGTTTCATTCACAGTGCTCCATAAAACCAGGTCTGGTGGTGTGCTCCTGGACTTCCAGCAATCGAAAGACAGAGGTAGAGGTATTGCTATGAGTTCAAGGCCAGCCTGGGTTACAGACTAAGACCCTGTCACAACCAGTTGACCAAATAAATGGAGTAGCTGAGACTGCAGACATGCACCACCAGGCGTGGTCATTTTTGGTTTTTGTAGTGTTAAAGGGTAAACACAGGATCTCAATGCATGCTAAGCATGTACTCTACTGTTGAGCTGCATACGACCCCTCAGGCCCACCCATATTTTTCATGAAACCTTCCCCAACACCATCATTCC